TTTTGTAATTATCATTATATATGCGTATGTACCTGAACGCGCCCGCAAATTACTACGCCCTTATACATTCGCTTAAATGCGTACATACATGCGGAGGACGGATTATGCTTTCCACAAGTGCGAATTGACAATGTACACATTTTGCATGCGCGCCTTATGATCCATACGTTGCGTATTGCCCCGCGCGAGTACAATTTTTTGTCTTTCTGTTATTAATTGCTGTGCCACTAAGGGGGGAAGTTTTAAATCCTGAGTGGTCAATTTTTTCGACTCATTCCAGATGGATATACATACGTGTACGCGCATACACGTATGCACATACGCCAGTGGAGAGTTCACTTTCCCCCCAGCTGTCACGCTTGGCTGAGGGTAGTGTGCCCATCTTAGTCACATAAAGCGCCCGTTTAATTCGGGCGGCGAACTGTGCATACTTCCAGTTGTGCCATCACAAGCACGAGACTGCTCACCGAGACAGTTGCCAGAGAGGCTCACACGTCTGTACATGTATATATGTGTTTTTTTTTGCTGATCACGCCTGCGCATGCAGCTAATTTAAGAATGATATCTTTTTTTCCTTGTAAAGATTTTAAGAGGGGCAGTGAGCAGGCAGAGCCCACGGAGGGGTGCGCCATCGCATGAACCAAACGCGCTGCGTGAAAAACTGTACAATATATATAAAGAAGTATATGCGCCCCTACGCGGAAGGCACTGAAGGAAACGCAACCCTTTTGAACGCGTGCCGATCTGTGCACTCTTATCCCCTTCCCCGAGAAATCAACGAACCGCTATCAGCTTAGCCGAAGATGAACTCCAAAAAGAACCATTTGAACAAAGTCGGCAGGCAAACGGCGAACCCCACTTTCGGGAGGAAAAGTAATTCCTATAAGGAAAACACCTACGGACAGACGAACGGAGGGAAGATTTTCAAGTTCATGAGCGATTTGAAGTATAATGGCTACGGCAACAAACTGGACGGAGCGCATTCTGACAACAGCTCCAGCACCAGTCGGAATGGAAAAAGGTACGGTGTAAGTAGCAAAAGAAGAAGCAAACAACGGCAGCCGGAGGTGGAAGAAGAGGAAGAAGAGGAAGAGGAAGAAGATGAAGAGGAGGAAGATGACGAAGAGGACGAAGACGAAGAGGACGATGATGAAGAGGAGGAAGACGAAGAGGACGACGATGATGAGGACGACGCGGATGAGGACGATGGAGAAGACGAAGACGAGACGAACAGCAGCGAAATGAGCGATCTCTCCGTGAAAAAAAAAAGAAAAGAAAAAAAGATGCATAGAGATGATAACTTCTACGAAGGAATCGAATCATCCAATATAAAAAATAAAGTCAATCTAAAAAATTATAACTCCGATTACTACGATATTTATTCCAACATATACTCCTATTATGATATTTTTACTGAAGATAAAAATGAAAAAAAAAAGTTCAAATATTTTAAGGACGTTTTTTCCAATTTTGATGACAAGTATGAAAATAAGGAATATAAGCACGGGCTGGACTTGAGCAAAAAGCTGCAAGAGAAACACATCCCGATTATCCATCCGAACAAAAAAGGAACCCATTTTGATAAATCGTTTACTAAAGAGGACAGGGGAAACGCCTCCCCCCTCATTCCCAACCTCCTCGCTGCAGAAAATAGCAACTCGAACAGCGCGGGGGGAACTGGTAAACTCGGTAGTAACGTCAACACTGCGTTTTTGAGCAGCAGTGTTTTCCAAAATGGTGATAGCAGAGACCCCCGGGGCGGTAAGGAAAATCTGGACAATAGAGACAGCAACGATAACGATGACAGCACTGATGTCGCCGCCGCGATGAATGGCCTGCGCAATGAATTCTATGCCGGAAGTGGTTCCCTGAGGGCGAAGCGGAATAACTTGAAAAAAGGCGAGGCGAACAAAGACTCTATGCTCAAAAATAACAAGAAGAAACTCGTCCCTTTGAAAAAGAAAAAGAAAAAAAAAAGCACCAGCGAAGATGTCATCGTGAACGATAGGGACAATTTGAGAACGCACGTGAACACGAACCAGAGTACTAACCCGATTTCTGCTGCGAGTGCTGCTGCGAGTGTTGCCGTGAATGCTGCCGTGAATGCTGCCGTGAATGCCGCTGTCAGTGCTTCCCCAAGTGCGAATCCAAACGTCATTGAATTTAAAAAGAACCTCGGCGGTCCGAAAAGCTGCGCAGAGGGCATCTACGGCAAGCAAGACCTTTCCAACCTGAGGGGAAGCGCGAACGCGAGCAGGGAAAAAGTGAAGAAGAAATTCAGCCACCCTGCGGAGGAGACCGCCAGTATTGCTAGGAAGTCAAAGGGGAGAAGCAGGAAGCCCGGCCTGTTTAACAATCAGGAAAATAGCGAACTGAGCAGCGCCACCCATTATGCGAAGTATGCCAAGTATGGCAAGTTCGCGAAGTATGAGAAGGACGGCAATCCGGTGCAGGAAAGGACCAAGTCGCACCTGGGCACCGCCAGCGGTGCTGCACACCGGAAAGGCAGCCTGGGCAATGTCAGCCATGTCAGCAATGTGAGTAACGCCAGTGATGCAAGCAATCTCAGCAACCTGAGCAACTCTAGCAACCCAAGCAACATCAGCTTGGACAGCTCGTGCTCCATCGAGTTGGACAATCCCCTGGAGGAGGGAAAAGTGCCGGACGTGAAAAAAGAAGGAAGCATGAAATTTTTAAAAAACCCAACCAAGAAGCGAATGAACAAGCTGAAGAAAATCGTAGAGATATTGGAATATTCCATTTACAATGAAGAAAAGAAAGGATCTAAATTGGAGTCAAAACTGTACGACTACGTACTCCTAACGAGGAGCCTCAAACAAGAAATTGCAAACCTGGAGGAACTTAACAGCAGCAATAAGAGCAAAATGGCTAGCTATGAAAAGGACATAACCAAGCTGAAAGAGCAGAACGAAGAAATGAAATTGACACTTTCCACATTCGAAAATGAGCTAAGCAGTTTAATAAACAAGTTCGATAAAAACTTTGCCAAAGAATTGATCGACACGAAAACGCAGAACGATGTGCTGAAGAAGGAAGTCGAGAAACTCAAAATGGAGATCGAGAAAAAAAACCACGAAATTAAGAAAATTGAAAATTCGAATGACTTGTCGAAGAAGCTAAGTGCGGAGAATATCGCGATGCAGGGAGGGGCAGGAGTAGTGTCCTCCTCTGTCCACACATCGGGCGTCACCAGTACAAGTACAACAAATGGTCCATTGAATAATTTGAACGTGGCCTATGGGGTTGTTAGCTCCACCAGTGCACCAACCAGCGGTAACAGAATCCCCGCGCTGAGTGATCAAAATGAACAGGGAGGAGACCTCGGAGGAAAACCCCTGGAGAAGAACCTCAAAGAATCAATCACCACGGCGTACGAGTTCCCTTTTTACTACGGTACGAGCGAAGAAATTGAGCCATCTGTGGTTGACGATTTGATACTAAAAATGAAAACAATCAGAATCGTGTATGAGAAAAATATCGAAAGGTATGATGATGACACGAAGGCGACGATTTACGGCTGCTACATCTCAAACTTTATTTTAGAAAATAAAGACATATGCAATCACAGGAAGGTGTTGAAGCACTTACAGGATTATTGTGTAGTGGAATCGAAAATGCTGAATATGCATTTGAGCCTACGCAAGGAAAGGTGCGACAATGTGCCCCTGAAAGAACTGGAGAAGGAGGTCATTAGACAGCTCGAAAATCCAGACTCGGACAAAAACAAAGAGAGGGTGGCCCTCATCAACTCGATTATGCTAACTCTAGTGTTTAAGAATACACACATTTATAATTTATATCGCCTGTTCGTGATTTGCTTAAAGTGCGATAATTTTCGGTGGATACGTATAATGAAGAAGTCCCTTTTTTTGAAGTTTTTCGACTTGTGTTTGATTGACCCCAACGTGAAGGGGAGCATCTCCCTCCCGAACGTGAAGGAGGCGAGGCTGATCCATCTCACGCCCGAGGAAGCACTGTCCGACCCGCAGGAGCGCCTACCCGTTGACAACGTCCATCAAGTGCAGTATCATATCAAACACCCCATGTTCTACTGCTCCAACGAAACAGTGAAGAGACTCATCTCGAGCATGTTTCTGAACTTCGCCAAGGACCCAATCAACCCTCAAAACGATGACAACATATATCACTTTGTGTTACAGAAGAAGAACTTTGACTTGCTCAAGCTACTGAAATTGTCTGGGAAAAATTACAACTATATATTTAACAAAAATGGAGAAAACAAAACTCCACTGGACTACATAGACAATGAGGACATCAAAATTGACCTCATTTCTGGGTACATCCTAGACATAGCAGGAAAGGGAGCAGATAATTATAAAAACGCAAAGTATGATATAGCCTTCGACCTGTACAGTGAAGCGCTGGAGAAACAAATAAAACTTTCAGAATCCGTTAGGATGGGTAAATCAATGAATGAAAATATAGGGAAGCTTTATTACAACCGAGCTAGGACATTAATGCACCTGAACAAATGGATCGACGTTATTGAAAATTGCAACAACTGCTTGAAATACATTCCCAAATATATTAACGCTTTCGACACGCAGATACACGCGTACGAAAATTTGCTGGAGTATGAAAATGCCCTCTTGACGTATAAAAATATGTGTATGAAATGTAACATCAAACCGGATGATAAGGAAGACAAACTCAAGTCACAGATAAATGCCACCTCCTTTCAAATTCTAAATGTCAACAGGAATTGCTCCGTCGCAGAAATCAAGCAGGCCTTCTCGAACTTATCCAAGAAGTGGCACCCTGACAAACTTGGCATAAACAGTAGTCCAGATATTAAAAAAAGGCACAACAATCACTTTAAGCGACTTTTTAAGGCCAAGCAACTGCTCCTGAATGATGCCGAAAGGCTCAAGGAGAAGAAGAAGAAAGAGACCAACTATGTGTATCCTCAAATTATCGAAGATGTAAACCACCCACTGAGTAATAACAGAACCGGCTCGCATAACATGCAGAAGGGTGGAACCCCAGCTGATAGCGTAAACGCGCCATCTCAGCAGAGAGATGGTAACATTCCCACCACTGCCAGTAATACTAATGACAGTGGTACTACCCCTCATAAGGATGACCTAGGAGCCAATACAGGGGACGCCCCCCTTAACACCAACGCAGGCACATTTGACTCAACCACGCAGACTTCCACTTTTGCCAGTGATGCCAAGAACACCTTCTACCATACGTACAAAGATGATATTGACAAATTTCAGGAGAAACTAAAAAACTTCAACAAAGGATTGAACAACGAATCGGACGACAACAAAAATGCCAACCCCTTCCTCAACCTCTTCGATGGGAAACTCACCAATCTGAATAACGAAAAAGTCGATGAAAATTTTTACAAAAAATTGAAAGAGGAGTACGAAGGACTCTCTGATGATGAGATCACTAATTTTAAAACCAAAATTTCCAACTCGATTAATAACCTCATACAGACGGAACTCAATTTGAAGAGAGAGTACCAGGAGCTGTGCATAAAGGAAAAAACAAATGTCATTATGAATGCCCGCCTCTGCATTTTGCAAGAGATACAGAAGGCGTTGTGTGTCCGATTGGACAAAGAGAGGAAGCTGAAAGTGGTGGAGAGCATAATTAAGGGAAGAACTGAGGAACGATCCCTTAACTCGGCAAAGGCAAATGAGGGTGGGGGGGCTACCGAAGAGGAGATTCCCCGCGAAGGCGAAAGGGATGCCCCTCGAATTGCCAGAAGCGCAGGGTATGGGGCTGATCCCCAAGGCGAAGACGAAAAGGAAAAGGATTATCTCCAAAAAAACTCATCCAACTTGAAAAAGGGCGCATCCGAACCAGAGGTCAAATGGGAAAACTCCAAAAGGAAAAGCAACTCCGATAATGGTGGACGCTTTTTAGAAGACACGGCATTTTTTCGAGATGCGCAGAACAGCAAAGGGGATAGCGGATTCACGTCAGCGGAGAGAAAGAAACAACGCCTCGAAGAAAGTGATGAACATGGCGGCGAAGGCGACCATTCCATCGATCGTAGTGACGATGATGAGTATGACGTTGGCTCCGGTGAGCGACGTGCCAGTAAGCGAAATGGAGACCAACTGGAACAAGCAAAAAACACGCAGCAGGAAGCAGCGGAAGACAAAATGCACAAAGGCGCCTCGAAGGAGTTGTTCTGCAATGACGACAGGGGATATTTCGAGGAGAGCCAAAAAAATAAAAACACCCCAAGCGGAAGCAGTAACGAGTGTGCAGGGGGTGACAATGTCGATCAGAGAAGTAGGAGAAAAAAAAAAAACGCAGATTTTAAGGACAACAACATACAGTGGGAGGAAGACGAAACGGAGAGAGGTGACAAAAAGAAAAACCAGAAAAACAAAATGGTCGCAGAGGACAACGACCATGAGAACTTCATATTTTGGGATGAAAAGGGGAGCGACCATCACGAGGGAAAGGACAATTCATACATCTTCGAGGCTTCTGATATATTCCAAGGGAAGAATGAAGGGAAAAATCAAGTGAAAAATGAAGGAAAACATCCAGAGAAAAATCAAGGCAAAAATGAAGTGAATAATCAAGTGAAAAATGAGGGCAATAACTTCTTCGACAGCGTCAGTGCTAATCATCCTAGTGAGGCCAACCAACCATTTAGGCACTCAAACGGACTACCGGGGGAGGACCGCTCCATGGGCCAATATGAAAAGATCTTCACTGGTGACAGATTAGAAGGAAACAATTTTTTTTTCTTAAGTAAGAGCAACAAAGGGAAGAACAGCCTGAACAATGCAGTGGGGTCGTTTTACGATGGGAATACTGAACAGGCAAATGGGAATCAGCACAACAGTTTTGCCAGCAAGAGAGAAGGAGACGCCCCTCAAGGAGACGGAGAAGAAGGGGAAGACGAAGTAGACAGTAACGGGGAAATGACCAGTGGTCACCATTTCGCAAAATCCATGAGTGAAAGGGACCCGTTTGATTTCCCCCACGGCGGAAATTACGATTACGAGTTGGAAAGTCGAGCCGGTGATGGGGGTGTCGCAGGCGAGAGTGGTCATGCTGGGGAGCTCCACACCGAAGGGCGGGAAGCCCCAAATGTCGATTCGGGGAACAGCGCCAATGCCAACTCGCACAAAGTGAATTTCCCGAACGAGCAGGATGAGTACAACTACCTTAGGGGAAGAATGAAGGATATCATGGGCACCCCGAATGGTACCCCTGGGAATATGAAGAAGGTCCCCCAGAACGGTAACAACAGCTGTGATGGCAGCGCGCAAAGTGACGAAGAGGAGAACACCCACCGCGCCGTTGGGACGACGACAAGTAACGCCATGCCAAATAACGGCATTCCAAATAGCGGCGTGTCTCGTAACGCCACGCAGTATAATAACAATTTCCACGTGGACCGCTCCAGTGATAACCACAGCGATGATAGCTACCTTAGAAATGACACCTACGAAACGATGAATCAGCGTACTATAGACCGAGTAGGAAAAAATCATCCCCCCAAAAAAGGACAAGATCATAAAGACCAGGACCATAACATAAACGGTGAAGATAGAGACCCATTGAACTACTCCAGCAGCCTGACGAAGGAGGAACAATTCGCAGCAATGCGGTTCCCCGGTAGCAACAGCTACGTGCAAAAAGGTGTACACCAAAATCTGTTTAACCTACTTAACATGGACGTCAACCTAGCAGGAAGTAGCTCCTCAGGAAACTTAAATTCGACCTACGCAGAGAAATTTATGAAGAAAAATTTAATGTACTCTAATGACGCCGTGGACAGACAGAGGAGGCGAAGTAGCTTCAAGCAGCAGGCAGGCACAAAGTATGCCAGCGACGGGGAAGAAGTAGGAAACGGCGAAGATTTTTACGGGCTCTATAATGATAGCATTGGGGGGATTAACGGCAGGCAGGGAAGCGCTGCCAATAGCAGGAGCGCGGCCAGTAACGGAAGTGGCAGCCACCAAGTGAGCAACTTCGAGCCCCCGTTTTTTAGCCAACCCGCGCAGCCCTCGCACGACCCACCTACGAATGGAAGAAAAAATGGAGACCGGAACTCAACCGCACGAAGGGACAGCAACAACGCCGAAGCTTTTTCCAATGTAAGTAGCTGTCAGTATGACCAGGAAGTCGAAACACAGCAACAGACGCCACTTCGCCTGTCGCAGCAGGGGTACAAAAATGCAGAAAGGGGAACCTTTTATAAAATCCCCAAGACCGATGCCCACTACGCCAATGAACCGTACGAAGAAATTTATCAACACGATCAGGGACACAACATTTACTACGCACCCGATGAGGAAGACACACCAAATGGTCCAAACAATGATGATGATAAAAATTTCTTCCAAACAGATATTAACACAAATCAAAGTAATACCACACATCTGTACGCGAATGAGATGAACAGTCCATTCCCTGAACAGATAGACTCCAAACAAGATAGCTTCCTCTACGATGATAATAATTTTTGCAACACTAGTTCCAACTTTTATGAAAATCACCTAAACAAGTCATACAATTATGAAAATATAAAAGTGAGAAATTCACTTATGTACCTAAATGAAAATGAAGAAAAAAATAAAAATGTGAAGAAAATATTTTCGAATGATTTAACTTCCATTTCGTTGGATAAAGAATTTAATCAAAAGAATAAATTCTCATTCAATCAGAAAGTGGAGAAACACAAAGTGAAAAATGGAAGAGGCAAAGTTCCCAGTGAGGAAAATAACTATATCAAGTTGAAGAAGTCCTCCTTAGATAAGCTAAGCCCCAAAGTTGATGCGAGTAAAGCAAGGCCCTTTGTCTTAGCGTCAGGGATAACGATGGGTGCTGCCACTGCCCAGGCCTCTACACAGACCGCTACCCCAGTTGCTACCCCGGCTGCTCCACCCGTCGAAGGTTCCCTACCGAAAAAAATTTTTAAAAAAAACGTGAACACAGATGACAAACACAAGGCTGCCGATCAGATGAAACGGGGGAAGGCAAAGGCCAAGGACAGCGGCGTCGCGAACGGCAGTAGGCAAAACAAGTAAGCAGTCTGTGCGATGGATATGCCCGACTGTGTAACCTCTACACTGGCCAATCCAATACGTGTAACGCGCCAAGCAATCACCTCACCAAACGAAGCTGAAGGAGAAAGCAATATGAACATATCCACTGCGAACTACTTTGTCGGCGTTTAACTGCCACAGTGCTGCATCAGTGTGTAAACGTAGGTACGTCCCTACCTGTGTGCATGTAACTATTTAATTCCGCCTTCGATCGGCTTAACCGTTTGCAGCAGCCCCCTGGTGTCATCTTCTCTTAATTAATTTTTTCTATATCTTTTGAAAGACGTGCATCAGAGGATATTTTTTTCTCCATCCTTACTTTAACTCGCTATTTTTTGTAATAACACACAAGATGGTAAAAAAAAAATTTTGAAGTAGCTGTATTTTGTTCAAGTTTGGTAAACATCCGGGCAGGGGCCATATGCCACCCTGCATACTCGTGGCATAGCTGATTACCCTCCCACATGCATTTTCAGAGCGCACCCCCCTCCCCCTTTACCGACATGCCTATTCACAAAATTTAAAATTGCTTCTTCTCTTCTGCCAAAGTGGGCACCCACCCCTTTCCCCTTCACACGAAAGAAAATATTCCTAATATGAACCAAATCGAGGGCATGAAATGTGTGCATCTCTGTTATGATCAAATCGAGGAGGTCTTCTATCAGGAGGGTAACCCTGCTGGGAGAGGGAACCGGACACGGAGAAGCAATGCCGCTATTCTTCTCACCCATAATAGGGAATATTTTTAACAGCATGTTCAAAATCTTCGGATAATCACGTGAACACATTTTCTTTTTTTTCATAAAAAAAGCTGCGTAGTCAACCAAAAAGTTTAACACGAAACTGGCTTGATTTATTTTTTCCGGCGTATTGCCATCCGTTTCTGGGCAAGTCACTAAATTAAGGAGGAAGTTCAGAAATACGTCACTCGAAAAGGTGTTTATGCACAGGTTCAGGAGGGGCGCTTCTTTATATATATCATTCTGTCCCATTTCGTCGCCCATATTTTTAACATACAACGCATACAAACTTAGCATTTCTTCCCTCGGGTGTTTTAAAAGATATGACATGATAACTACCTTCTGAGAAGGCTCCGCAGAATGCACAATTTGGCGACTCTTCTCGCAGAACTGCTCAAAAAAACGGCCTTCATAAAAATCGAACAAAGAAAATGCGTAAGACAAATTGCTTACATCTATGTTGTTAATCCTTTCCACATTTATATATTTCGAAATTAAGCCAAGGAGTGCATCATCCCGATGTTTATTTTTCCCGAGGCAGTAGGTCAACAGACAAATGTGGGAATATTTCTCGCTTGGGCCTCTTTCGCCGTACTTTTGTGCAGTTTTTCCTTTACTTAACTGAGTGAGGCAGACACTAACATTTGACCTCTTATGTAGATTCTTCTTACTGTAAGGATTATCTGCTTGGTGGGATGATTCCCCCATGTTGTTGTGTCCCCAATTGGGGTGTGCTTCACCGTCGTTTGTTTCCGTTTTGTTCATCTCTTGCTCAATTGCTCTCATGTGGGAAATCCCCCCCCCTCTGTGTGTATCCTGCAAGGAGTAAGAGGGATGTTCTTCCCTTGGGAGCCTTCCCCCTTCATCGCCGTTTCTATGTAGTTTGCCATCTCTTTCGTTGTCAGCCACCGCTACAGTATCACCCACCACTACAGTGCTATGTGAACCACCTCCGGTAGCATCAACACAGTTGCCTACACTTTGTGATAGCTCCTTCTTCAACCTCCGTTCTGTCTCATTACACAAATGAAGAAAAACCTCATAATCGTATATTTTCATTTTTGTGTACGAATAGGCTATTAAAGCTATCTCCTCCATAGTTGCAAAGCATATTTTATATAACAATTCTCTGCTAATTAAATTTACGAATGAGTCATATTTTGTGTGAAGTCTTGAATAAGACAAGAGCAATTGGGAGAGATCTTTTATGTTAAAATTTTTGATCCATCTTTCATCGACATTTTCTGCCACTAGCTTGAAAATGTTGTATTCCTCATAGTTAACTTTGGACAGATAATTCAAAGCCGTGGTTATACTATACGGCTGAAGGAACGGCAAATGGTGCTTCAATTCGTCGCAAATCTCATCCCATAGGTGTTTATCACGGTGGTGTTCACTCGAGTTACCCATTCTGTGCACATTTCTGCTACTTCTGGTGGAAGCGACTTCATTTTCGTTACTCCTAAGTTGAATGATTTCTTTTCCGTTCGGTTTATCTTGTTGTTCCTCTTCAGTTGGCAATGGGCTACTCCCATTTGAAGGACACGTGCTGGTATAGCTTTTACGGTTATGACTATGACTAATTTGTCTGTCACTTGATTGACCAGCAGGATTGTTTTCTCCATGTAGGAACACCTCCGAATGGGCACTTTTCCCACAATCCCCAGCACGATTCTTCATGTAAAGGACACGATCTTCTGCTCTATCCCCACTGACACGCCTCAGGTATAGCATTTTTGCGACTGTTCCCAGTTTATTTCCAAATTTTTTACGCGGCAATTCTTTTACGTGTATCTTTTTCATCCATATTTGCTGCTTCTTATTTCGATTTATTTCCTTATTTTTTAACACATGTTCGCTGGATGAGGAGCTGTGGAGATTTCTCAAAATGGTGCCTACTCTTCTACTTACAAAAAAATTCCCTTGTTGAACAATTCCGAGGTTTTTCAAGCGACTTGAAATGCATTTTACTTCATTCATCTTTTTTTCGCAAAACGTACATTTCTGACCATTTCAAAAGTGGGCTGGCTTTATTTAAAAAATCACGGTGTTCTTCATCGCAAATGGTCACTTGTTCGGGACATTTATGCCATTCTTTTGACTTACGTTGTGCCTATGCTCAGCAGTTCTCAGTTCCCTTTCCCGTTTCCCCCGTCGTGCCTTTTTATTTTTCATTTTTTGGTGAATTCCTTCGCTCTGGTGAGATTTTTCACTCGCACAGTCTTCTCCCTTCCGTGCGCATAAACGTATGCGTAACGCGTGCACAGCTAAAATCCTACGCATTCTTACACCTCATTGGTTCTATGACAACGTGTTTCCCATAAGTCTACATATCCCGTGACGCGAATGCTACGAGTTGGACCTCTGTCGGTTGCATTTTCTACAGATCATTTTCACACAAAAAGGTTGCAAATGGTTTTGCAAACCATCATACGTCCATTTGCTGGCATGCCTCTTTTTGCGTTACGAACGTTGCAAAAATATGCAGGGGTCATACATTTTTCGCCATTTTATTAATTAGGTAACTATTTTTTTTTTTTTTTTTTTTTTGTTCATGTGAAAAAAAAATAGCTAGCTGTTTAGGTCACCATTTTGCACTTTTTTTTTTTGGCGCAGTTATGAATAATACGTTATAGTGCATATTTAAATGTACACACACGCACACAGATTGTTGCTCGGCAGCAACTGCTACTGGCATATATTCTTTTGGTGCTTTTTTTTTTTTTAAGTGTATAATGCTCTACATCTTTCGTATGCGCATACATTTCGCATTTTTGGCACTCTTTTCACCAAATGAGTTTTGTCAAGGTACAATATAACGACATGCTACAATGTTCACCTTTTTGTTTATGTTTTAAAAGTTGTTTTGGGTAAGACACTCGTCGAGGCTTAATGTACATGCGTTTGTTTTTAGTTAAATATTTTTTCTCCCACGCGTGTGTGTGGCCGTCTTCCCCATTTTTGTAGATACCTAATGTTTGAAACGTTACAAGTTCGATTCGCTTCGTTTTAAGGCCACGCGCTATTGTTAAACGAATTGTTTTTTGTGCGCTAATTTTGTCTGGGTTTTCCACCAGAACGCGGCTACCTGTTTTGGTACACACTCATACTCATATATATATTTATTTATTTACACTTTGCGCGCCGGCATGGAAACGAAGAAAAGCAAAAGCAACTACTCCCTAAGCTGCGAAAGCGGCACGACGAATTTGTCAGAGCACCAAGAAATGGAACAGACTCCGGCGACAAAAAATGGCTCAAATGGAGAACAGTCCGCCCTCTCAGTGAAGAGGAGTATTCCACCTTTCAGCAAAGATCGCAGCTACGCTAATTGCCAGACAAAAGAAACAAAGCTGATAGATAGCGTAACCCCCGACTTCGCAGGAAAGGCAATAGACATCCAAACGCGTATCCCTCAAAACAAAACTACAATGATAGAAGTCCCCGAATTGAGGTTCATAGATAAAATTGAATATGACCCATTTGTCATAGAGAAGTTAAGGTATGTCCCAAAACAAGTTACTAAATATAATATTATCGAAAAGCCAGTAATAAAAAACATCGTGTCAGAAAAAAAAGTGGATGTCCTCTATGTTCAGGAGAAGATAAGTTTTAAAGACCAGGAAATTGTGGAGGAGGTTTATCATTACGTTGATAAGGATAACGAGAGGATCTTACCTGGTCAGGGAAATCTATCCCCTAGTAGGGCCGTTTTACCACTAGGGGGGCTGACTCAGGGGGAGTGTGACTCATCGGCGTTATGCCCCTACATAGATTGCGACATGAAACGAAATAGTATCCATCATAGCAACAACGGTAGCGATAACAAAAACAGTATGGGGGGCGCCTCAGATGGTGTGTTGCCCCGCATATTGGAACCATTCGGACCGCAAGTAAACATAACAGAAAATAAGATATTCGAAAATGTGTTCGTACCAAAGGTGGAAAAAGTCGTGGAAGTCAAAAAGAAAATTGACATACCGATCAACTTACCAGTTCCTTACATAGTTCCTAAACCGAAAATCGTAGATGTAGACATTCCCGTTTTTAAGTTTAATGATAAGTATGTCCCCGTGCCAGTTCGACAAAGGATCATACCAAAGGTTACATGGACAGATAAAGTTTACAAAGTCGACTGTGTGGTGGAGAAGCCATATCTGGTCTATCACGACATAGTAAAAATTGTGCCAACGGACACGAAAATTTCCGTTAGAGAGTACCCAAAGGGAATAACTAAAATAA